TCTCTCTCTCTCTCTCTCTCTCTCTCTCTCTCTCTCTCTGTGTCTCTGTCTCTCCCTCTGCATGCTTCATTCATTGGTCTTCTACCAATGTTATGTAGAGCTTTAGGGAACACTTCTATCTTTAGAAAGAAGTTGTTTTCTGCTTAGCATCACCAGCAGCTGTTACCTTTCTGTGTAGCTAACTAGTAGAAGAATGGTCATCATTAATTTTTCCACTGTGTGAGTGGAATGAAACTCAAAGGCTGTCAATGCATTTATAAAAAGAACCCAAAGAAGATGGTTCTTTTAAATACCACAGTGTTTTATTATTAACAGTTATGTCAAGTGGCATAACTGTGGCCTGTTTATAGATATGTGCTTTCAAATCAATAATAACAAGTTGAAAAGGAATGAAATTAGAGATATTGGGTTAGAAGTTTGGCGTTGATTGTAGATGACAAATTTAAAGTATCTATTCTGAATAGAATATCTATTATAACTTGATTTATTTTCAGCTGGAAGATACCAAGCATTCTTGATCAGAAGCAATATTTAATTGGGACTTCAGCCATTATGCAAGCCTCTTCTAAACTATATAAAATCTTATGCCTTAATTATTACTGAGATGAGGAGAAAGATGGGAGAGGGAGGGAGGGAAAGAGATATATTTATGTATGTAAGCAGAATGGTTTGGATAATTGTATTGTGGATTTCTGCTGGTCTGTGAAAATGCTTAATTAATTCTTAATGTTAATGCTTAGTTTTTAGTCTTTTCTATTTTTTTCTTTTTCTCTTAATTTCTGTATTTTTTTCTTTTCATCATTCTTCTAATTTGTCATGCATATATCTGATAATCTGAAGAACGAATTTGAAAAGAACACTATACAATATTAAAGATACTGCCAAATTCATATTATTTTGTTTAGTGAACCTCTGTATCATTCATAATTTATTGTTTTAATACTATTCTGTGTTCTTTTTTAAACAATATTTACCATGTAGTTTGCTTTTACACCACCAGGGGGCAAACATAACTTTATAAATCTTCACCAGATTGTGAAATGTAAAACAGTTTCAGCACCTAAGTACTGAACTTTATTTTACTTTAATACTGAAAAGACATATGAAATACAATGTGATATATTAATCAAACATTTCCCACATTTTTTTTTTACAATAGCACTTTTCGCTTCTAGAGAGTCATATCACAAGTATCCAAATATCTTTTCAAATATACAATTCATGCTGAAAACGTTACAAATCATATGTGAAAAAGAACTCTATCCTGGATCAGTTTTTTGCATTGTGGAAAAAAAGGAAGGATTTGAGAACACAGATTCTGATACGGTAGGTAATCTGATACGGTGGCTTTATCCTGCGCCTGTGATAATTTGGCTGTCAATTCGGCAGCCTTTGCTGAACATGCCTTTAGCTGGTGGGGAGCAGGGCGGGGTGCTCGGGCAGTATCTGCTATTTTATGCAGCAATTTGCGCATTTTCTGAAGGGAACTTCAGCACAACTACTGTTTTGAATGGAGAAATGCCATGAGAGTTCTTCCAGATAGGTCCCATGTCAGCCATTCATTCAGAATCACAACAAAATTTACACTGATTTATAAATTAATATTTTTAAGTATTTTATTTGCATTCCAAAGAACATATATAAAATGAAGAAACAAGTGTAATATTTCATGCTCCCACAACTCATTTGTAATATTCTAAAATTCAATTAAAAACTTTAAAATATAGTTCAAGATGAGGAATTCAAATAATTATTAGAAGAAAAAAATGATACTAGTATGTAAATATCTCTTCTTTTTTTCTCCTAATGAAGTAATAATTTTATTTAGTTGTGGCTAAGTATAAGATTAATATTAAAAACTTCCTATATGGCATTCATGAAACATTCACAAATGAAATTTAAGAGATGACACTTATTACATCTTTTTTTGTGAATTTAGAACAGGGTCTACAGGGTGTACAGGGTCTCACCACTTAGATCAGACTCCGTGATTCTCTTGTTTCCAGCCTCCCAAGTGCTGGGATTACAGGTGTGCACGGCACCACGCCCCATCTCAAGTGCCATCTCAGTGCGCCCTGGGGGTGGAGCCGGCATGGCACGCCAGGGATCGAACCCCAGCCACTGCACTCTGCCTGAGCAGGCTGAGCTATCTGGCTGGCCCTAAAAAGAGACCCAGAACAGCTTTGAGATTCACTAGGAATCTTTTTTTTTTTTTTTTTTTTTTTTTGGTGGTATCAGGGATTGAATTCAGGACCTTGCGCTTGACAGGCAAGCACTTATTCCACTGAGCTATCTTATATCTTAAAAGTATGAAATATCTAGTGGTCAATTCATGAATTTGAGAAGGCACTACCAATAAATTGTAGAAAATCATTCACAACAATAAAACTGAAATAAGTGGTCACCTTAGATAAATATCTCTTTTATTTATGTAATTTCTTGTTATGAAATAAGCTACAATTAGGCAAGCACAAGCATAAGAGACATATAATTGAGCATGTTTTATTATTATCATGAGGTTTATTGATAACATTTAGATATACACAATGATCACATTCATCATAGGGAATTTGTATTTGTATGTGATTTTTCTTTTTTGTGTGTGCAGGGTCTCACTAAGCAGCTCAGACTCATAATGATCCTCCTGTTTTTAGCCTTCTTAGTGCTGGGATTACTGGCATGCACAGCCACACCCAGACTCCATCGCTGGTTCAGCACACCTGGGGCAGGTCCAGTGTGACATGTGGTGCCAGTGATTAAAACTGGTCCCTGTGCTTACTTAAGAAGTGCTTAGTCAGCTGAGCTATCTTGCCGGCCCTCATGATATTTCTTGATTTTTCTTATTTTCCCCATTCCTTTGCCCTCCCTTCAATTCCTCTTTTCTTCTTATTTACAAAGCTTTGTTCCCACTTTATCCTTATTTTCTCATTTTTCCTTTTCTCTGCCTTCAGCTTCCCCTTTCCTCTCACAAGTATTCTAGGTCTTTTCTGGTCCCAAATGGATTTTAGGATTTTTTTTTTCTAGGTCTGTGAGATATACTAATAGTATTTTTATTGAGATTGCATTAAATTTATATAACAATTTGGAAATATGACCTTTTTCACTATATCCTATCCAAGAACAGAAGACATATTTCTATTTTCTGATATTCTTTTTAATTTCCTTGTTCAAAATAGTGTAGTTTTCAGTGTAGAGATCATTCACTTCCTTTGTTAGATAGAATCCTAAGAATTTCATTATTTTTGATGCTATTGTAATAGTGATTGTTTCCCTAATTTCTTCCCCAGTAAATTTGTTACTTGTTTAGGGTAAAGCTATTGTTTTGAATGTTGACTTTGTATCTAGCTATACTACTCAATTTGATAACTAAATCTAGAAATCTTTTGGTGGAGTTTTTGGGTCTTCTATGTGTTAAGTTCTCTGCAAATAATGATAATTTAACTTATTCCTTTTCTATCTTTATTGATTTTATTTCTTTCTCTTGTCTAATTGCTCTTGCAAATGTTCCTAGAACTATGTTGAGTAAGAGTGGTAGTAGTGGAAATCCTTGTCTTATTCTTGATTTTAAAGTGAAAGCTTTCAGTTTTTGTTAATTTAAGATGATGTTGACTGTTGGTGTGTTATAGATAGCTTTTATCAGAGTGCGATAAAAACTATTCTAATTTTGTGCAGGGATTTAATTATGAATGGGTTTTGGATTTTGTCAAATGAGTTTTCTGCACTTATCAAGATGATCATGTGAGTTTTATCTTTGGTTTTCTTAATATAGTGTATTAAATTTAGTGTTTTGTACATGTTCACCATCCCTACATCCTTGAGATGAATCTTACTTGGTCACAATATCTAATCTTCTTGATGATTTGCTGCATTCTGTTTGCCAGCATTTTATTAAGGATTTTTGTTTCTATGTTCATTAGGGTGGTTGGCCTACAGTACCCTTTTTTGATTGGATCTTTCTCTGGTTTTGGTATCAAGATAATATGTGCTTCCATGAATCACTTTGGATTCTTGCTTTCATTTAAATTTCATTGAGGAGTTTGAGAAATACTGGCATCAGATCTTCTATGTATTTCTTTTGTAATTCAGCAGCAACTATCTCAGGACCCAGGTTTTTCTTTGTTAGTAAGTTTTTAATTACATTTTCAATTTTGTTGACTGAAATTCGGCTATTTGGAATTTTTATATCTTCTTGATTCAACTTTGGGAATTCATATGTATCTAGGAATCTATGCATTTCGTCTATATTTTCCATCTTATTAAAGTTTTTCAAAGTTGATATTAATGACCTTCTGGATTTGTGCAGGGTTTATTGTGATTTTACCATTGTGTTGCTAATTATATAAATATGAGTCTTTTCTTTCCTTTATTGATAAAGTTGGCTATGGATTCATAAATTTTATTTAATCTTTCAAAGAACCAACTCTTTGACTGATTGATTTTTTGTATTGTTTTCTTCATCTTAGTTGTATTAATTTCTGCTCTGATCTTTATAATTTCCTCCTTTATACAAGGTTTTGGCTTGTGTTCTTTTCTTTCTAGAAATTTGAGGTTCAACATTAGGTTGTTTATCTAAACTCATTCTGTTTTCAAGGTAAGAAAGGTTGCTGCTATAGATTGTCCTTTTAGGATTGTTTTCCTTGAGTCTCATAAATTTCGGTGTATTGCATCAGTATTATCATTTAATTGTATATACTATTTATTTTCTTCTCTAATTTCATCTGTGACCCATTGGTTGTTTAGTAATGTGTTAATTTCAATGTGTTTATAGAGTTTTTGTGATTCCTTTTGCCATTGAGTTCCAATTTGATTGTACTATGGTTTCATAATGTGCATAGGATAATTTCAATCCCTTTGCATTTACTTTAGGGGTTCTGTAGCTAGTATGTAGTTTATTTTGAAGAGTGTCCTATGTGCAGCTGAGAAGAATGTGTATTCTGATATTATAGTGTGGGACACTGTAGACATCTACTAGATCCATTTGTTTACAGGTTTGGTTCTATTCTTATATCTTTTTTTTTTTTTTTTTCCGGAACCAGGGATTGAACTCAGGCCCTTGCGCCTGCCAGGCAAGTGCTTATTCTACTGATCCATCTCCCTGGCTCCTTGTTTGTTGATTTTTATCTGTTTGATCTATTTGTTACAATGGGATGTTAAGGTCCCCCATTATAGCTGTTTTAGTGCTTGATTTTTCATGTCCACTAATATTTGTTTTTTATAGTTTGTGCACTGGTATTTAGTGCATATATATTTATGATTGTTATCTGTTCTTGAAGTTTTTCCTTAACAAATATTTAGTGACATTTTGTCTCTTTTGATCAGTCTTGGATTGAAGTTTACTTTGTCCGTAAATACAATTTGTAGGTCCTCTGCCTTTTTCTACGCTCCTGTTCCATGGAGTATTTTTCAATTTTTATTTTTTAAAAAGAATATTGTTATCTATGCTTTGACTTTCAGTCTATGGACTTCTTTTTAGGCTAAATGTGTTTCTTGTATGCAGTATATTGGTGAATCTTGTTTTTGTTCCATTCTGCCAGTCTGTTTCTTTTGATTGGTGAGTTGAAACCATTAATGTTGATAGTTATAAGTGATATGTATTGATTTATCCTGATTACCTAATTTTCCTTCTACTGGTCTGCTGTATTTACCCTCTGTTAATTGTCTTGCCTGGTGGATTCTTTCTATTGGAATTTTTGTGACTGTAGTCTTTATCTCTTTCTAAAGTATCTTTCAGAACATTTTGTAGAGCTGATTTAGTGATCATGAATTTCTTTAGTTGTTCTTTGTCTTGGGTGTCTGGAGGTCTGGGGTTACATTTTGCTTCTGCTTTTTGTCATTTTCTATTGATTTTCTTTTGTTTTATTTTTCTGTGTTGATGCTTGTAACTTTTTTTTTATAGTAGATAGCTTTATCACTAGTATCAAGGCTTCCCTAAGGGATATCTGTTCCTCAGAGATGTCTTGTAGGTATTGGTGGTTCTTGGTCTTTGTATCTGTCCCTAAACCCTACCTACCTTCTTTGTTAATTATGAGAAGTTGCTATTTATTTGGCCCAGCACCCAGTCCTTTGTTACTGCATTATGTTGATGGTTATGACTGCAGCTAATGACAGTGTTGCCCTACAAGGAGGAATGTCTCATATGCTATCCTGGCTAAGTAGTAAATTGGCAATGACAATAACATCAAGTACAGCCTAAAACTTGACAAACTGCGGTAGCTAACCATAGGGGCAAAGCTACAGCAATATAATCAAGTCCACCATCATTCAGGATCTTGTACACAAGGAGATTCCCCTTGGTAGAATGATTTTACCCTGTGATATGGAAATTT